GCTCTGTGTTTTATGTATGAATCTGAAACCTGGTAGGCTTATAGGAGATATCAAGATGTACAAAAAAGTCTCTTGGAGCAATATCCCAAATCCAACAGGAAGTCAGCCATTTTAAAATTAATGTGCAATTTTGGCGACATTTTCTCCTCTTTTCAGGCTTCATACTTTGACGAACTCCTCCAAGGGATTTCATCATATTGAACCATTCTCCAGTGTGTGGAATCTAAAGACCTTTGTGATGTTAAATTGCGAAGCTTTTTCCGTTCAGGGAAACGGGGTGGTTATGGCGGCACTTAGAGTTTGAATCACTCGCCAAAACGCAGTAATCTGCTGTCACTCAAAAACACAATGTCCAATCTCTCCCAAACGTCTCAGGTGTGATGAGACTCGAGCTTGGAAGTGTTTGTTATGCCATTTGTCAGTAATGGTTAGAGCGCCACCTAGTGGGACGACTATAATGATGATTGAATGAGATGAAATGTTAGCTGGTGATTAAATGCATGAATTCCATCAATGTGACATCAGATCGGAGGTGCTGGTTGTAGGTGTTGGGCGTAGCTTGACGCGATGGGGTGCGAGGGCCCTCATAACGCTGCTTGCAGCTTTAATTATTATTATTATTTCGGCAAATGAATCGGCCTTTTGAGGACCTAAACATGCTCTAAAACTCATGAAATTTTGCACACGCGTCAGGTCTGGTGAAAATTTACGTATTTTAATGTTCTCAGACATGACCAGGGAAAATTAGCTCAGTAGCGCCACCTAGAAAAATGAAAAACGCGAGCCCCCGGTATGAGTATGACCTACATGTATGAAATTTGGCACACATATGTATCATGCCAAGACGAACAAAAAAGTCTGTGGGCCCATTGACGCAAACCCAACAGGAAGTCCGCCATTTGGAAGAGAAGGTGACATTTTGGCTCTAATTTTGCCATTTCCATGCCTCGAACTTTTGCGAACTCCTCCTTGGGGTTTGATTTCATAACCTTCATATTTGGTCAGTGTCAACTACACCCTTGTGCCATGTTAAATTGCGGAGCTTTTGAGTTTTCACAATACTATGAGGCCGTGGCGCCATGGCGAATTTCGATGACTCGCCATGAAAATCTTATTGCCTCTCATTTTGTCATACATTTTCTGACCTTGACCAAAGTGAACACATATGATAAGGCTCCACCCCTGAACATATTTCAACTGCCATATTTGACACCAGGGACAGCGCCACCTAGTGGGAACAGGAAATGTCATGTTTTACACTTTGGGGTACAGTATTGTGATGGGTGACATCTGCAGCCTCAAATTTCTCCAGGAAAGCCTTAAGGAGTTGGTCTTGGGTTACAGTGAAAACTGTGACTTTTCACGAAAGGGTGTGACCCCAGCAGCATGGCGAACTTTGATGTCACGCCATGAAGAAACAAATTAGTATAACTCAATGAAATCCAGTCTGATCAGTACCAGACTTTACAGGCATGATGTCAGACCCGCCCTGAACAGATTGATGTGCCCATTGTCGGAAATACGGACAGCGCCACCTAGTGGCAACAGGAAATGTCATGGCTTTAATTTTGTTGTACTGATTTTCACAGGTTCATCGTGGCCACCTCAAAAGCGGTGAATATCAACATCAGTCCCTCGTGATGCTTCAGTGCAAAAATTGTGACTTTAAACTGAACGGCGCACCCTGGTGGTAACGCGGTTCACCATGAAAGATGAAGTGGCTTTTGAGGGGCTTGGAAAGTTTATAGAGGCTTGAAATTTGGCACACACCTCCAAATGGATGAACGCTTTGTTGGCATGTGATCATTTTCATTGAATAGCACGAAATGGCTCCACAGCGCCCCCTACAATATTTCAAAACATCAGCCCCTGCTCTGTGTTTCATCTATGAGTCTGACACTTGGTAAGCTTGTGTAAGATATCAAGATGTACAAAAAAGTCTCTTGGAGCAATATCCCAAATCCAACAGGAAGTCAGCCATTTTAAAATTAATGTGTAATTTTGATGACATTTTCCCCCCTTTTCAGGCCTCATACTTTGACGAACTCCTCCAAGGGATTTCATCATATTGAAGCATTCTTCAGTGTGTAGAATCTAAAGACCTTTGTGATGTTAAATTGCGAAGCTTTTTCCGTTCAGGGAAACGGGGTGGTCATGGCGGCACGTAGAGTTTCAATCACTCGCAAAAAGCAGTAATCTGCTGTCACTAAAAAACACAATGTCCAATCTCTCCCAAAGGTCGCAGGTGTGATGAGACTCGAGCTTGGAAATGTTTGTTATGCTATTTGTCAATAATGGTTAGAGCGCCACCTAGTGGCATGACTATGATCCTGGTTGAATAAGATGAAATGTTAGCTGGTGATTAAAAGCATGAAATCCATCAATGTGACATCACATCGGACGTGCCGGTTTGAGGTGTTGGCAGTGGCTCGACGTGCCGGGGGTGCGAGGGCCCTCATAACGCTGCTTGCAGCTTTAATTGTTATTGAAATTGATTGCAAATAAGTGCGATATGGTGCCGCCAGAGATGGGCAGTAACGCGTTACTTGTAAGAGAATGTCTCACGACAGTGCCGTAAGAAAGTGCGACGTTTGTGGCAACAGCTGTGTGCAGATCAACAATGGATAATATATCGAGTGCAGGGGAGAGTATGAGCGTGCAGCGTTTAAAGCGTGGAAGTACTGACCTTACTTTGAGTTTGATTCCATAAAAAGTGACAAAAACATTAGCGTCTTCTGTGCGTGGGAAGAAAACTTCTTTTTACACCGAAAACCCCCTAAACTTCCAAGCAAGCACCGAGTGCGCAACGATGTAATGGGAAATTCACAGAGAAACTCGCGGATTCTTCCACTGACCGCCGCGGCACACCTGCACCAGGGTAAACCTCCGCCTACGCCACTCCTGCTTTACAGGTGAAAATAGAGCAACAGGACCGCTAGTCTGTGACTTTATTTATTTTCTGCTGTGTTTTACTTGCATCTATTTGAAAGAGTGAGTGTAAACACACACAAAAAATATTTTATGTGCTGGAATGTGCAGAAAATAGGTTTAAATATTAAACAAATTTCTTCCAGTCAGAGAATGTTGCATATAATTAAATTTTTGCTTGATGCATAAAGTTAAAAGATTAAAACTAATAAAACAAGTTTTAAAAAGAGACTTTTCCATTTGATTACATTTTGTATGATGGATTATGCAGAAAAAGTAGAATTGGGCTGAAAGATCTATCGCTTTATTACCTATTCAGGTTGTAAATCGTGTTTTTAAAAAGTAACTAAGTAATTAATTACCTTTGAAAATAAGTAATCAGTAAAGTAACGGGATTAATTTTTTGGGGAAGCAGTTACTGATTACTTTTTTCAAGTAACTTGACCAACACTGGGTGCCGCATTAAAAAACCTCCTTGCAGTTGCTTAGTTTGCTAGCAGACTGCAGCGGTTGCCACTAGTTGCATGGAAGATATCAGGTGATCTGCTAAAAATCACAAATATCCATGAAAACTGAGCAAACTTCAATCTAAATTTGGGTTTTTGGAATGTAATGGTTGCAGTGGTAAGGTTCAAATTTTAGTCTGAAGGGAACTGGCAATAGAAATCACATTATTCTTAGCAGTTGCTCTCACTGAAACTTAACGACCAGCTTGTACTAACCAACAATGTGGTTTGCTGTGTAAGGGCAAAACCATACCATAGAGGGTCCTTATATAATTGTTAAGATAAGTGGACTTATATAATGTTTATTGTTATATTGTTAGCATTTACCTCCACACCATAAAAAGCATGAAGTAAAATAATGCATTACTTTTTAAAAGCAATGTGTAATTTATAATATTTTTTTCAGCGTAACAACTCCAGAACAATTTTCAGGTGCCTTTATCTAACATGTGAATGAACATCAAGCAAAACTAGAATAACGGAAAGTTAAATTAAAACATATTTGTTGCACTTTGTATATTTTGCAAAAATACTGTATGGTTGTGACAAACGTGCACAGCACACCATTCAGGAGAAACGCTCAGTGCGGCATCAACCGGTGCAGTTTTAACACGACATTGCTTTAAAACAGAGGCAGCTCCAAAGCTTCAACCACTGTGTGTATCGAAAATAACCAAAGGAAGGGAGCTACATAAAGCCCTGTGAGTCACAGCGCCATCGCAGATGAAAAAGCCAGCACATCAAAGCTCTTTCAAATGTTAACCCAGGATGACAGTCTCTTTCCCTCTGCTGTCAACTGATTGGCGAAGAGGGGAAGAGACTGGTATTTATCATCCTAATCAGACGCATTAGATGTATACCGCACTGCCCACAGATGAGACTGAATCCTTTAACGAGTTTAAATTCTAGTTGGCTGTAGAGATTATTTGATCCGTTTGATGTTTTCTTCAGCGAGTCTCTGATATCGCCGCTGATGCTGAAGATGTCAGTTATCAGCTTTACTTGTGGCCTCTGATCACAACCAGTAAGCGGATACTTAAATGAATCGAGCAGGGACCACTGATGTGCGGCAGCTGAATCATATCATAACCTCAGGCGTCTTAGCACTTGAACAGAGAGAGGCGCTAAGTGACTCTTCACAGGCAATCACTTTGTCACCCTCTGCTCCTGGATGCCACACGGCTTTACATATTTCTCTCATCTCTGGGATGTTAACAGCCATCATAAATGTCAGCACTGAAGGATGAGCATCCTCCCACACTCCAGTTAAAAGGAACACACATAAAAGATGTAAATGTACCGGTATGTAAATTGTTATGGTTATTGAGGGGGAAGTCTTTGCTGTATGTCACATTCATTTAACAAAGAAACAAAAGATTGCAGTGGTTTACATTTTTTTTGTAAAGAATCCTACCTCAACTAATTTTCTTTCATTTTGTTGCGGAAACACATGTCATCGTCCTGCAGAACCCTTCAGATATGTAAATGTAAGAACAAATTGATTCACAAACACAATTACTGTTTAACACTCCTGCAATTCGTGTGTAAAGCATGAAAACATGATAGTTTTTATTTTTAAAAAAGCATTGTTATTTATTTTCATCAAACAGGCGTTTTTTGTTGATAACCAAACAACCAGAGTTATGGATGAAAGCTGTATATTTCTATTGCATGTCACTCACACTCACATCACTGTATTCACTAACACTACAGATACACTGACAACATTTCATCGTTAAACAAGTGCATTGTCAGAGAGAAACTACACCACTGTCAGTCAAAAAAAAAATACTGAAGAATAAGACTTTAATTACTCTATATTTAACTTAAAGTCAATACATCTCATGAAAAGGTCAAATTTCACTTCCCCAAACTTTTTTTCTAGCCTCAGTACTGTTGAAAAAAAACTCCCAAAAACTAATTTGAGACCACGGTAGTTTTTGGCAAACCTTACCGGGACTTCGCTACGTACTTCTATGTTAGCAACTCAGCTCAGCAGTAGATTCACACACAAATACTTTAGCAAGCATTTCCCATAGCAGGACAGTTTATACACAGACAGTATAAAGGATGGACGTAGCCACTCTGATTTGGCCTGTTGGTCAATAAAGTCCTGTTATGAAGCCTTGAGTAGAGCATTTCAAGCCGTTTGAAACCAGATGCAATGAGGGAGGGGCAGCTCCAACAGTGAAATAGTGTGCAATGAGCATATCTTTGATAAGTCCCTCACAACTCTCTGGATGGCAGTAATTTACAAAATGGGCTTAATGTTGTTATTCGTTATGGCGAATGACCATAAATCCATCAGGGGAATATTTACTGAAGTCACACAGAGCAAGGGAGCCAGGGAGTGTTTTCCCATAGACTTCTACACAACTGTAAGTTTTATTGAAAGAGGCGTTGCCCCCTGCTGGACAATTAAAAAACTGTAGGTTTAAGGCACTTCAGTAATGCTTTTCAGACCTGGAAGCTATGTCCATGTTTTATCCTGTCTATAGGTGCACCTGTGTACTGTGTTCAAAATGACTCGTCAATCAAAGTAAAGTCTCACTGGTTATGATTACTTGTCACAGAGAAATATATATCACAATTAATATCAGTTACCTGTTGTTGTTGTTGTTTTTTAACTTCACAGAGTTTGATGACAATAAGAAAACTGCATAACTTCAGACCTGGTCACATGATGTGAGTTTCATCAAATTAATAATAATAACCCCCCACAACCTGCTAGGTTAATGATCTAACATGGCACCAATGCAAAGTGAATTTAAGCAATTTTTTTTTGCTTTATTTTAATCACATTAAGTTAGGTTATTAGCCAATTTGCACATTTTCTCAACATTTGAGGGAACGTAGAGCCAGAGATAAATAAAATTGGGAACCTGAAATTTAAAATACATGAATTTAAATATGTATTTAAAACGTTTAAGTTAGTGAGTGGACAAACCTGATGACAATAAGGACTTCCTGATTTTATTTTGGAAAGTTCTTTACTCAGTTAATGACGAAATGTCAGGCAGTGTAAACAGCCCATTACACAATTAAACTAAAAGACAGTCAAGAAGCTGTAGCTCATCAGCTAGTGGAGCATTAAGAATGTATAGTTCTTGTGGCTGTGCTCACATTACAGGCTTTGCTGCACATTTCTGATTTTTAACTCGTTCTTTTTACACTTTTTAGACAATTTTTTAAAGTCAAAAACGTAATTTTTTTGTTTTAATCGTGAGAGTTTGATACATTCAGCTCAGTAACAGATCAAAGTATTAGACCAAAAGTCCAGTAATGCTTTGAAAGTAGCGGTATGATTATTTCATTAAAGTCCATTAGTCGGTTTGAGGGAGCCAAGTGGAAGTCAGTAGGAGTGGCATGTGGGAGTCTCGGGTATGCATGCTCTCTGGAGTGTCACAGATTATATTCCTATATTCACGGGCTTAAATTTGGCGAGCATGCAGAGCATACAGGATAACTAGCCCGTGCTTTATTTAGAACGTGAATGAAAGAGCCACAATGTTTTAATACAGCATCCAGTTCTCTTTAATACGTCCACTTGATGACAACAGAAAATATACAACAGGAAGTGGGATGTAAGCCTCCCACACCAACGGTACCACTCTGAAGTGGTTGTATAGCCCAATATAATATAATATACTTAGTGCTGTAAGCGTTAATCTCGATAAAATGACATTAACGCCATAACTGCATTAATGCGGCAAATCTCCGTTAACGAGTTACTGCGGATCGCCCCGTGCGTGTGGCTGCACAGCATCAACGCGTTAGCATGGTTAGCTCGCTGACAGTACTAAATATGATATAATACAATAATGCAATTTCCTAAAAACACAGGCTTCCTTTAATTCTCGTGTGACCAGGTCTTCATCCTTTAAATGACAAATTAACAAAATTCTACATAATAGTGTAGAAAATGATCAGCCTCAAATGTAACATGGTTGTAATCTTGTTCGTCGTGTTAAAATGGTTTGACAAAACCAGAGACGCTCACAGTGACAGTTTGCACACGGTTTCCACAAATCACTTCACAAATCCCACATTAGTGACTGGTGCCAATGTTATGCTGTGTTTGCAGAGGAAACTTTTGAAAATGTTCTTCTCTGGGTCTTGAGAAACATCTTATTTGCTTTATACATATGCAGCGTATCATCCAGCACAGTTCAGTCTGCACGCTCGTCTGGATGTCAAAGTTACCTGTTGAACCTAAAGAGTGCTGCACTGCAGTAACTTCTGCTGCGAGGACAGTCAGTGCTTCTTCACCAGAGAATGAACTCTCTGGAATCAAGAATGGGACAGACAACAACGCAAAGAGATGAATTATGCACTTTGAAGATTTAGCAACTTTTGTCATTAAAATCCCATCTGTGCATTGGGTCTCTCAGAGAGACGGTGGTGTGTGTGCGTGTGTTGATAAACAGCTGCTGTTGGGCCTCTCTGCTTGGTGGTGTTTTCATTATAACCATGTTTGCTTGACACAGTCTCTCAGATTATCTTTCAGTCTTATTATTCTCCTCTGTCTCTGCTTTCCATCAAATCACAATTCACCTGTCAGATCAGAGCAGATTAGCATTTCACAAACACATTAACCGTCTCTGTGTGCAGTGAATGAGGTGACAGACAGCCGCACTGTTACCGCCAGCAATAAAAACTTCCCCATTCAGAGACATTTAGAGCATTTGGAGATGATGCTCCCAGCAGGCAACATGCAGCAGGGAGGAGAAAACTTTAATAAAAGAAAAATATATATAAAAAGCTAGAAAACTACAAGAAAAGGTTTAATGTTGTGGTGTGCTCAGAAGAGAAAAGAAGAGACTGAAAAAGGAAAGAAAGGAGAAAATGAGTCCCTACTGTATAAAAATCCCTTATTTCCACAACTGCAGCGTACCAACAGTACAAATGCAATATGTGCTTATTCACAAGTGAGCAAGACTGTTGACTTTAAGATGTCACTTAAAAAGGACCAAAATAATCTGTTCTAGCACAGGAAGAAATCACTCAATAAAATGTATAATTGAAATGCTGACAAAAGCAGTCCATAGATGTTTGTTAGCTAAATTCCTCTGACAAAGTACAATTGTACAAGCTCGCACAGTTTTCCTTTAAAGACGTCTTCAAGGTTCCAGAAACTCCAAATTGTTATTCTCCCAAAACTTCCCGCATAATAAAAAGGCATTACAAATGAACAAATGCCAGCACTTACAGAAGTAGTCTTCCTGAGGGCCTGATTAAGGGACAGACTTTTCCACTTCCAGTTAAGCAAACAACATTCATGACCCTCATAAAAATGCACCATCAGCCAAATAACTGCAAACAACCTGATTCTCAGGAATAAAGAAATAAAGTTAAATCAACCCATAAAAAAATAAAAACACAAAATACCTGCAGCCTTTGAATATGACAGAGTGACAATACCTAGAGACTGCTGTAGACATAATTTCCCACATATACATTTTTTTTTTTAAATATTTATAGTAGTGGAAACAAGTTTGTCAACACTTTTAAGGTCCAGCACTGTAGTCTGTTTGATTCACTATATACATAATATACAGTAAAAGACAAAACTGTTCCTTTTATACGTTCTCTATTGCGTGGAGCCGCTGCGTTGTGGCTCAGTGTGCAGTCTGAAGTGCTGAGGGATGACGGACAGTCCGGTCTGCACCCCTCCAAAAACCACCATCTCATCAGGCATTCAGGATGCTTGTTAAATGATATACTCCTTTGGGTTTTCACAGGGGACGCTCTGGGAATCAGCCTGGTTGCTAAAAGCAAAATCCTGGCTGTTTTCCTGCCGGTCCTTCACTTGCTGGTTTCGATATGTCTCTTTTCTCTGGTAGAGTAATCTGCCCGTTATCGCCAGCCCAGTCACAACCACAAAGATCACAACAGCGATGACACCTGCAGGGCAGACATATCCAGGCATTCAGGTTTGGACAGGTCTTTTATGTTATGTAGCCCGCACTTAAACTTTATATTTGAATCAATGGAGCGGACTTAATAATACACAATAGAGTTTAAAAGCACTACAAACTACAAGCCTGGAGAACTACTTACAGAAATCACAACAAAGCTTGCTTAACAGAGATCAGAGGATATGTTTCAGAGTAAAAGGCGGTCAAACCAAATATTAATATCACTCCATCTCTGCCTTATACCCTGCAAGTCCTTGTATGTTTGCACACGTTTCAATAAATCCCTGCACCTATTTGAGGTGGCTCAAAACCTGCTCGCAGTGCTGTTTATTAAAAAAAAAAGTTAATTAAAGAAGGTACAAAATAGTTAGTGCTGAGCAGCTGCTGTTGGGTTTGTTGACAGAGTGGAAATCTCATCTCAGGGACAAAGATGTAACACAAGAAGCCCTTTAAAAGGTAAACACTAACATTTTTATTTATTAAAGTCTTACTTTTCTTATCTGACTGTAAGTATGCCAATAACAGTAACACGCTTAGCCTTTGGAAATCACTCGTCAAAAAAACATAAAGAACTGTCATCATAAGGAAGCTGGAAATAATTCGATGTCCTGCAGCTAATACCTACAGTCCTATAATTGGGTTAGACAATGAACTGAGTAGAATCCACATTGTAATTCACTTGTAAATCTCTCACAGTGCTCAGTCTCACAGTACATTGTCTGCCCATCTCTCCTGGGTAAGTCGGCTTTCTTGCCCTGCAGTCTGGTTGTTCTAATCTAACTTCAGCACACACTGAACAGAATCTCACACATTTGTACCCAGCTGGACTCCTGTTTGACACATTTCTTCATTCAGAGAAAGTTTCATCTAATTGGAATTCAAAAACAGAAATCAATTTTGCGCTTTACTACTTTGGTTTTAAAACTTTTGAAGATAACAGGGTGAAAGTTTCAGCAGAGGTTTGGTTAGTTCAGCTGCCCTTTGTACACTGAAACACCAGAATCTCTCACTTTTGTCTCGCTACAACTTTATAGGAACACTTTGGAATCAATCTTCATTTTGAATCGTTCTGGAGTGAAGCGGGGTGATGTAATTTAGTTCAAATGAAATATTTTGCTCATCATATCACCTTTGCCAAAAAACCCTTATCGCTGAAATATTGAGTCTCACGTAGTTCAAGAAAAGTTCAACAGCAAAACGCAGCAAAACAAGGTGAAGAAGGTTCACGGTATAGTGAAGTATGTTTAAAAAAAAAAACAGTACCTCCAATAAGAGCCGAGTCCGTCCTAATGGCATTGATCAAAGGTTGACCCGAACCTGCTGAACCAGACTGATCTACAGCAGAGAAAGAGAAAGGATGAGATAAAGAGGGAAAAACGAGGTAAATAGACACAGTAAGGATGAAAAACCAAGGGCAACGTGAATTAAAAGAAGAGATACAGAGAGCTTTAATAGAAAAGCGAGGTAAGGTAGATGAATGAGAGGCAATAAGAGGAAATAAACTGAAAAGAAATGGACAAGGAGGGCTATTTAGAGAAACAATAACGCTCATAAAAACAGATACAAAGCAAATACTACAGCAGCAAGTTAGACGACTGTTTAAGGAATATAAAACTGGATGAAAACAAGACCGGAGGAACTCTTTGTAACTCCCCTGTGTGGGTCTAATTAATTACGTTATCAAGCACATTGTCATTTGTCGTCCCAACAAGGTGTACAAATTTAATGACACCATAATGCAGCTCACAAAAAGCAGCTCCCATCAATAAGACACACACACAAACACACACATACACACACGCGTTCTAACCTGCTATTGCACAATTATCATCACGTTAAAAGGGTTGGAAATTATTAGGCGTTTAGGCATTTAAAATGAAAGGGCAGAGGTATCCTCTGAATGTTTTTTTGGGGCGTGTTTAATATATTTTTCTAGGAATATTAATAGAACTCCCATCTGCAGTGAGCAAAAGTACAGCACCCTGGGTGATTCAAGGGCTCATACAGCAAGGCTGATGTTTCCAGTGCAAGAAAATTGGGCTTTCGCTTTTTATGAAACAACTTTCCAGCCATGGCGTGAGGCAAGAATTCACTGTTGAGCCTCTATTGACCTCCCATCCCACCCTCTGCACATCACGTCTTCTCCAAACTGCAAAGCACACAGCGGGCTATATGCCAGCTTGATTGGACCCAGAGAAATAACCCTGAGCTGGAATGATAAATTCTGGCTGGAGGATTTCTGTGTACCAAACAGTTTACACGACCATCCCTTAGAAATTATGCATATATATACAGTTATGGAATAGAGCAAGTCTTTTGATGTTTAAGACTCTAATAATTTGTGAGCAATTTAATTACCACAAAACAGCTTCTTCACAGATAATGCAAATGAGGCTCCTCCTTTCTTACCTGACAGGTGGTGTGTGTTCTCAGCTGCATAGGGATTGGTTGAAGCTGCAGAGCCACAGTTAGATTGGACTAAAGGTCCAGTGATGATGACAGGGCTGGTGTCTGAGTGGAGAAGAGCTGCTTTCAGAGGACTCATGGTGTTAAAGTGAACCACAGACAGACAACCAGTAAAACCGAGGGACGCCAACTTGGCCAGGTCTGGATCCAGGTCATCAGATTCTGGGAATAAGAAAATATCAGACTCTTGAAATAAAAAATACCAAAAAGTCTTTTTGTGACAACCATATAATCCACTTTTGATAGTTTTGCCCTTTTGTTGATTTTATAATGATTTGAAAGTGTAACTTTACAAATCAACCAGCAAGCCTTGTGCAAGGAGAAGGATCGCTCAGTGAACCTTCAGTCAATAAAAGAAAAACTCACAATGCTCACAGAAATAACTTACATCTGACAAAAGTAATAATAAATAAAAATTCTATAAATGTTAACCAATGAAATTCAGACATTGCCTTCAACCATGCTTCAATGTAATTATTTAAAAAATAAATGCATGAAAAAGGCCTGGACAAAAATGATGGTACCCACAACTTAATATTTTGTTGCACAACCTTTTGAGGCAATCACTGCAATTAAACGATTCCTGTAACTGTCAATGAGACTTCTGCACCTCTCAGCAGGTATTTTGGCCCACTCTTCATGACCAAACTGCTCCAGGTGTTTCCGGTTTGAAGGGCGGCTTTTCCAAAGATGCTCAATAGGATTGAGGTCAGGGCTCATCTCATAGAAGGCCACTTTAAAATAGTCCAATGTTTTCCTCTTAGCCATTCTTGGGTGTTTTCGCTGTGTGTTTTGGGTCATTGTCCTGTTGCAAGACCCATGACCTGTGACTGAGACCAAGCTTTCTGACACTGGCCAGCACATTTCTCTCTAGAATTCCTTGATAGTCTTGAGATTTCCTTGTACCCCGCACAGATTCAAGACACCCTGTGCCAGATGCAGCAACGCAGCCCCAGAACATAACAGAGTCTCCTCCATGTTTCACAGTAGGATATTGATATGCTTCATTTTTTTAGAGCTGATGTGCCTTGGCAAAAAAGTTCCATTTTTGTCTCATCTGTCCACGGGACATTCACCCAGAAGCTTTGTGGCTTGTCAACATGTAGTTTGGCTTATTCCAGTCTGGCTGTTTTATGATTTGTTTTCAACAATGGTGTCCTCCTTGGTCGTCTCCCATGTAGTCCACTTTGGCTGAAACAACAACAGATGGTGCGATCTGACAGTGATGTGCTTTGAGCATGAAGTTCACCTTGGATCTCTTTAGAAGTCTTTCTGGGCTCTTTTGTTACCATTCAGATTATCTGTCTCTTTGATTGGTCATCAATTTTTCTCCTGCGGCCACGTCCAGGGAGGTTGGCTACAGTCCCATGGATCTTAAATTTCTGAATAACATGTGCAACTGTAATCACAGGAACATCTAGCTGCTTGGAGATGGTCTTATAGCCTTTACCTTTAACATGATTATCTATGATTTTCTTTCTCATCTCCTGAGACAACTCTTTCCTTTGCTTCCTCTGGTCCATGTTGAGTGTGGCACACACCATGTCACCAAACAACACAGTGACTACCTGGAGTCATATACATAGGCCCACTCACTGATTACAAGATTGTAGACACCAGGGATGCTAATTAGTGGACACACCTTGGATTAACGCGTCCCTTTGGTCACATTATTTTGATTCTCTTCTAGGGGTACCATCATTTTTGTCCAGGCCTGTTCCATGCATTTATTTTTTAAATAATTACGTTGAAGCATGGTTGAAAAACAATGTCTGACTTTCATTGGTTAACATTCATAGAATTTTTATTTATTAAGACTTTTGTCAGATGAAAGTTATTTCTGTGAGCATTGTGAGTTTTTCCTTTATTGACTGAAGGGTATCAACAATTTTGTCCACGTCTGTAACTCATTGCTTCGAGTATTTGAGACGTGCATGTCTTTGCTTTTTTTGGCAAGAGTTTAGTGAGAAGCATTGTATCACTAAGAAATGTGTATCTATTGTCAGCTGTAAGTTAGCTTCACCTTGTAAGTTTAATCTATAGTTTTACAATTTACTGGCATGCCACAGCGACCAGACTTTGCTGTTTTGTCTTATTATCAGACTGAACTTGTTAACTTGGTTTTAGGACTAACTTTAAATGTAAATTTAAAATGTAAACGAAATGCTTTACATTAAAAGAAGCCATGTGTGTCATCATTTCAACAACAGCTTTAAAAATATAAACCTTATGGTTTCCATAGGACAGTTTAGTTAATCACTTCAGATAACTGAACTTTTAACCTTTCAGAAGCTTGCTCTGTCAACCAATAGGGTGATCTGACACGACAAAAAGCACGACAAACACTGACAGGTACATCGATCCTGCTTCACATTCCCACGTTATCAGAGTGGGACAATAGTGGCAGCTCATTGACAGTAATAAGGACACACACAACCTCACACACACTGTCAATACAACACAAACCGTTCAGCTGGTCAGCTTTAAAGTCTGCATCCATCACTCCGTTTGACACGTGCACTCTCCAGCTCTTTCTGTTCATTTTATTGACTTCAAACTCTCCATCATTCACCTCTGCTCCTTCACAGCGGTGTAAACAGCAGCTGTGAAAGCCCACATTACTGCTGGAAACAGCTGTATCACTATCTGTTCAGATGACTGAGAGGTGACTGTGGTTTAAGCAGCACACATCTGCATGCTGATGAGAGCAGCAGGAGACACTGGCGCAGCCTGTAAGCTCCTCTCGGCTGATACACTACAGCCACTCTCTCTACCCCCACTTTGTTTCTGTGTATTCCTTCCGGGTCCATTAGTTAGGCTGATGGATGACAGGGTTCGAGGGGAGTGACAGAAAATCCACTTTCCTGCTGCTCTTCAGATCCTGATCTGACTCCCAGCCTCTGCTGGTTTGACAGAGGAGAGGACCGGTCACATGCTGACATGACAGGGTTAAAACCCACAGTGGAACACTGAGCAGATTTACTGCATAAAGAAAAGGATCCTGAGGGGATTTGTATTAGTTGTGTAATAAGACAGCATGAGTGCACGGCTTCTATTACATGTGGATTTCCATTATTTCGTTAATTGTTGTTCTTTTAAACTGTTAAAGATTTTGCCACAGTTTTTCAGTTCTTACATGGTGCAAAATTGTACATTATCTTATGTTCATTACATAGCACGTCCTGATGGATGCCCCGGATGAAAGGCATTTCATTCGGCTGACTCATGTTTCACTATTAATTGCAGAGTGTTACGTTTTAAACCACCAGTGCGCTGCTGTGACTCCGAGTCTTATCAGAAAGCTGTGACCACAGCCTGCAGCCTCTCAGCACCTCGTGTTATTAACAGCTTATATCTCAGCCTGTCTTTGATGGTACTGCTCAAGGAGAGCATGAATAAGTCATGACAGAGCCCATTTCTCCCTCACCCCAGCACTGTTACAGGTCCCAGTTCAAGAGTATGCATTGGAGATCAATGAAGATGTGGTTTACACCTCCCAGAGAGTGAGTACTTTTCCCCAGGTGTCAAATCTGCACTTGTGCATTAAAGCAAACACAGTTCTGATTTAACCTCACCCACCAATCACGGTAAACCCTCGACGGAACCCCATTTGCCAGAATAAGTATCTATTTTTGTATGATAGAAAAAGCAAAACATTTGTATTTATTTTAGTTGTTATGTAATTTTTAAATATCTACATGTCTAAATTGCACATACTGCGATAATAACATGCATTTTACTATAAGTGGTTATACCATCTATGAAGATTTATGCTGTTTACAGATTATACTGTGTTGACCAAACCATATGTTTTAAGGTTTGCAATACTGTATTGCTTTATGCATACACTGCATTATACAGAGAAATGTTCTGAATATTTATCCTAGCCTCATTAATAGAAATGGGATGGAAAAAATAATGGAAGTGTAATGCAATTCAGATTAATGGCAAAAACACAAAAAACACAAAAACTGAATCCCATATTCTCCATTAACCTAATATTTATGAATCCTTCTCACCAGCACATCCTTATACTGGGACCAAACAGATCATATCCATAATTAAAATGCAATAAGTACCAATTTGTGAATATTAACAAAAAGATTGTTTAGCAGTACCATGTTTTGCATAAATGCACCATCGTTGTGTTTTGTTTCATTTGCATAGTATTTGATAGAAATATAAACATCCTTTATTGTCCCTCACTAGGGAAATTCACCTGTTCCAACAGCAACGCGAGAGAGAAATGGAGCAAGAAAATTCACACAACAGTAAAGAATAAAAATACAAGAAATAAGAGACTGTACAGGGCAAATTCACAACACAAGAAAAAAATAATACTGTAAAGTTAGGGTTTCAATAAAATAAGGGTCACTAATTGCAAAATCTGTAATCCCGGATACGTTACTGCAAAAGGCATGACGTTCAAACTCCCCAGCTGTTATTTGCTCAGGGAATTTGTCAACCTCCTACAACAACACCTGCATCATCTTAGACTGAGATTTTGATTTTCTGTGTTTCCTATTTACTGAGCCGAAGTCGTTCTTCATGTTTTCACTATGAACTGGCGATGGGGATGAGTTCTTACGTTTATTTGTTTTTACAAACTACTGCATCTCAAAAAAAGTAATATAGACTTTTTTAAAATATAATTTAATTGAATTAGTAAACCCCCACACTATGAATGTCTCTTTGTGCTCAGTAGAACAGTCAACTTTCAAAGACGTTGGCCCTCACGCAATGTTTACGCAAAGTTTCATGAAGACTGATCGAGTTGTCTCGAGTTGAGAGTGAAGCTTCTTAAAGCTCAAGTTGTCTGTTTGAACTAGCTTCCAAGCTTCCATTAATTACCGAAACAATACTGATAATATTAATAGAGATGCTAAAAACACAAGTGCAACAACTGGTGAAGCCAAGTAAGTCATGCATACACTCATCATATTTCAGGCTTAAAACACATACGCAATGATGTTTCCTTTAGCTTGTTGTAATAACATATTTTCCCACAATTGATGAGCATTAAAATTAAACATATTTCCTGTGTAGTTTTATGTTCAATTCAAATTGGTTTTATTAAAAAGCGCCAAGTTACAAGAGCTTACACTGTAAAGACACTAAAGTAATACATGGAAACCCCAACAATTAAACAATGTTTAATCAACAATATTGTATCGTTAGCTTTATTTTTTCTAAAATCTTGTTTCTATTTTTATTTAAGTTAACTGAAATGTTTTTTATACCTACTTTTTAGTTTTAGCTACCCATAATCACCTGTGTTTTATAGAGAAAATGGACAGTGCTATCAAACATGTGTCATTTTCAGGACATCATACATTAAAGTTGATATCATTTTTGGCTTCTGAACTATGGCATCTTTTTTAAACGAAAGATACCAGAAATGTCTGAACATCAGTTCCTGCAGCAGCTATACATGAAGTTCAGGGTTAAAGTCATGATTAAAGACATTTTTCCATTTTGCCTCAGTCTTTTTTTTTTCCAGATAATCTGAATAATCAGGCTTGCTGAGAACAGCTAAAGCTACATTTATTTCTTTAAGTTTCCCAAAGCTGAGTGTGAAATGAGGCCAAACACCCCAGAGCTGTTATTCAAATGAGTGTGAGTCTGAGTGTTCTTTAAGTAAAAGGGCTTCTTCTCTATTTTTACAGGCTCCTCACTTACCGTGCACTCTGCCCAACACCAGCGACTTCACAGCGTTGAATTCCCCATCAGATGTCAGATTGAAGTCTTCTCTGGCATTTTCATCAATCTGAAGGAAGAGAGCTACTTCCATTATTTAAATAGGAAAGTTTTGTTTTAATTTCGGCGACTTTGAGCGGTAGGTGTGGCACGAGAAAAACATCTTACAGAAACGGTATTACGAGGTACTCTAAACGTGCTTCAAATTTGATTCAAATTTGTTTAAAATGGATGTAAAACTATCTCCATCACCTTATGACTCCTATACTGTATGCTGCTAAAGATACAACAATTCAGTATGACGGAAAGTGATAAGATGAAATGTGCCTCATAGTTTACTGGAGCCTCACAACACAGTGAATCAGGAGGCTACACCCACGCAAGACAAGGTCACCTTGTAATTTATCTCACAGTTGATAATTATATAGGCATTCTGGCTGCTGCATCCTGGTTAGATAAAATTTACCTCATACATCATCTGAGGCTCTTGTTAACAAGATAGGAGATTCAGGAGATCCAGATACGATGAAGATGCTTCATATTTCATCTGTGGCTTATTTAATGGGCGGTTTGTCCGCGCTGTCCTGCTATAGCTGCATCCAACTACTGTGGGTGGAAGTAAACTACATTGCTGACTAAGGCTTAAAACAAAGAGGGATTTTTTTTACAATACTGTAGTGTGGTCCACACCAGAACTGCTTGCGTGTGTGTGTGTGTGTGTGTGTGTGTGTGTGTGTTATTGCCCTTGAGATAAGCTCCTCATTGGCAAAGACATGGAACAAAAAAAGTTTATCTTAAGTAGCTTTGCACCTCATCTTCTTTATCTGCATGTACAAAAGCACATCATCGACATAAAAGGAGCAGGTTTTACGACACAGTGATGCATGACTTTGCATTATTTATGGAATAATTTTAGCAAGTGGCTCAAGCACCATTACATTACTGGTAACGATACTGGTTACTGGATAATCACAATTAGGATATTGTATTTGATGCAACATCATAACCTGTTGCATCAGGCTAAATTCTGGAAGTGTCAGAAGAATCACTACACCTATCTCACAATGAGACTGCTGTGACTGTTACGAGCCACACCTGCTAATCATTCTGGAAATACAAAATAAAATGATTCTCAGTGTGTGGTTCAAACATGCAAACTAAATGTTTCCAGCAAAGAAGAAACTCTTGTCGAGTTGTGGCAGCAGAAGCTTGTTTGTATGATGTGTTTTCTGGTGTGATAATGACAGTGCAAAGGAGCAAGTAATATGGAGAGAAACGCCCTCGGGATTGCTGCCGTGCACTGAAATTCTATAGTAGATATCAGCTTTACAACAGTCTGCAAACAGTGAATAAAACATGATGTTGTGTGCCAAAGCTTATGAGATCCACAATAATGAAACATCAGTTTGTAGACTCTTTAAGGGTTATGAAGCGAAGGTGGTAGGGATGTGGCCAAAGGTTTCTATTGGAATGTGTTGCTGTTGTCACTCACATTAACTCTGCAAACAGGATCATTTGTGTGCTGCTAATCTGTCTTTTGTTCCTCCAATGTAAGAAAACAACAACCTCGCAAATTTGCATTAAACGCTGGACTTGTTTTTTTTTACCTAAAACAATACCGACGCCTTTGTGCGAGCTGGATTTCGTTGTACTTTGCCAATTTGCAAACTTGCAGTGATTTCATGAGCTGATGAAGTGTTTTTACCTGCACAGACACAGAGTCTGTCAGCCTCTTGATGGTAACGGTGTGAAGCTGTCCATTGGCCACGTTCCTCACGCTGCTCCTTAACACTTCAGCATCTCTGCTGCTGTCCAGCTTGTATCTCACCTCCAGCTTATCTTCATACATAACAGACACACACACATACTCATCAAATAATAGTGTTACAACTCAGATATATGAAAGAAGTAACATTTCTACACTTTCACAGAAGAAGGATTTGAGATCATCAGCATTAAGTTTGGTCTTTTCCTGAAAATTAGGCTTTGCTACGTTGTATAATCTTCACCAGCAGGGCAAACATACATTTAATCCTTCATATATGGATCTGAATGTTTTGAAGAGGTTGTTGTTCTATTAATTGAGATTTGCATATTAGGAGGATAAGTGCTAATTCCCCATCAATAACAGAGCTAATCCAATTAATTCCCCTAATAGTCAAGCATATTAATTGGAGATTTATCAAAAGAGTGAAGATTAAAGATTGTTTTTAAAAACGAAAGTTTTTTTTTTCTCACATCTGCAATATTTCCATAAATCAAAGTGAATAAATCATATCACAAGGTTAAAATTACAATTCAATATCTTCTTTTTGAGGTGCTGAGGAGAAGGGGAAATATTAAAGACGTACCACGTACCAGCTACTGCTCTAATAACAATAAATTTATTCTTTAAAAAACGAAAAAGGGCCCTAAGTGAAGCAGTAGTGCTCGGGCTGAGAGGGTTTAACTGCAGTCAAGGATGAAAAGAAATGAGCCATCTTAGGGCAAACAAGAGAAAGCTCTCAGGGATTTAATTGGACGCTTCATTTTAAGAGCATTTACCTGACGACTCCACGGTCAGCAGCAAATCTTAATACCCTGCTGTCCATCAGCTTTCTCTGAGTCATTAACACCAGAAAAAATCCATTTACAACTAATCTAGCAGCAAAGTGCCAATTTTATTAGATTCCTGGATGCTGAAAATGTAATTTTCAACTCAAAGTGCCTCGTACCACTCTTAAAAGTCAAACTCACAACACAATTATTTCACACAGAAGCTAAGAACACACTTCAGCATGTTTCCAGCTCTTTTATTCAGAAGTGCGCTGACCTGCCCCCTATTATCGGCCGACCTAATCCTTATTCTTGCAGTGTCACTCATTGGGTCTCAGAGATAAGTCCAGAAAACACTTTATTCTTAACTTGAGACAAAACCTAATTGCTGGCAAAGCTGGCTGTATAGAAAATGCTAAAGGCTGACGAGGCAAATCCAGAGAGAGGAGTGATCTGACAGATTTTGATGATGGAGAGCAGGAAACGAGGTCAAAACAGGAAAAGTTGTTAGGAATGAATAGGAGAGAACAGGAGGGAATAAAAGGAGAGGAGAAGAGAAACGAGAGGAGCATCAGGGAGGAGAAGCAAATTTAAAAAATATAACTAGACAAAGTTTAGGGAGAAAAATGAGGGCTGGCATTAAAAGTTTCTGAGGTTTCAAAACTTTAAAGTTGGGAAAACTAAAAGTGGAGTTAGCAGGGGTAAGACTGAGAAGAACAGTGTACAAGGAGGATCAAGACACCTCTCAATTAACTTAAGGAGGAGGATAAGGAAAGAAAGGAGATGAGATCATTAAAAGGAAAAGAAGAAAAGACAAACAAGCATAGGAGGCCTGTGCCCCTCTTACCATGCTTGTTGATGAGCACAGCCAGGTATTCTCTGTAGTAGGAGCTGACGTAGAGCAGCAGAGCTGGACTCTGGTTCGTCCTGAAGCTCAAAGAGATGTTCTCTGCTCTCAGTGTCATCTCAGAGTAGATGGAGGACGGCAGAGCGCTGCTGTTCCTGCTCAGCTCATAGGGCTCCTTGAAGGTGTAGCTGACTGATGTTCCAGGCTTGAAGCTGGCTGACACCTCTGGGACAGGACAAAAATAAATAGGCGAGGATTTAGAGTGCTGTTCAAATTAAACTTTAAAAGAGTTAAAGAGGTTAAAGAATAGTGCAACAACATCTTATTGCTGTCATAAATACATGAAATATATGACTTTCTAATAATAAAAAAAAAAGTCAACTGACACAAAATTTTAAACTCACATTGCATATTTTATCATCATTCTGAGGCAGCGGTCCCCAACCCCCGGGCCACGGAGCGGTACCGGTCTGTGAGTCGTTCGGTACTGGGCCGCGAGAGTTGAGGCTCGGGTGTGAAATGTATGGGTTTCACATTATATTTTTATTGTTTTTATCATTAACTCGGTTTCCCTGGGTCTTTTCCCCTGTGTTATGAATAAATCTTCTGGTTTTTTGGTACCGGTACTGGTTTTATTTTGTTGTATTTATCCGCGACACCTTAAAGGCTGGTCCGTGAAAATATTGTTGGACATAAACCGGTCCGTGGCGCAAGAAAGGTTGGTGACTGCTGTTCTGAGGTATCAAAGGTCACTGGAGCTCAAACTTAAACTTTTTACTCCTGCGCAACGAGATCAGCCTTTGGAATGAACCCATCAACCTACAGTATCTATCCATTCATTTTCTTTCTCTTACCCGGGTCCAGCTCGGAAGGGTAGGGGTTTGAGCAGCGATGCCCAGGGTGTCCTCCTAGCTGGACATGCCTGAACACCTCACTTATGAGCCATCCTGAAGACATCACAGCTAAATGCCCAAACCACCTTAACTAGCTTCTTCCACTGTGGAGGAGTAGTGGCTTTATTTAAACTACCTCTTAAATGAAACAGCTCTAAGGGATGAAGTTTGCTTCTGCTGCTTGCATCCACAATATCATCCTTTCAGTCACTATTCATAGCTTGCGGCTATAGGTAAGCGTAGATTAACTGGTAAACTGACAGCTTTGCTTTCACTCTCAGCTGTACCTTTACCACAAGAGAGTCGTACATTGTCCACATCACTGCAGACATGTGTGAGTCTGCAGAGCGAGTGAGGTGTGTTGCCTCTGTGTGACAGAGTGAAGCTCAAGTACCCAGCCTGAACTAGCTGGATATTTGAAACCCACCTTATTTGTTTTACCAGTTTACTGACGTCTCCAGAATTTCAGTTATCAAAAATATCATTAATAATCTTCTGCTTTTCAGCTGATTGCTAGAGCATTGGCAATAATTTGAAAACTTCACATCCTAAGTTTTCAGCCTACATGAAAAAGATTCTAGTTTGAAAAGTGTTAGCTCTGCTTTCAATAATGTAAGAGTAAACAAATTATTTCTGGGGCACAGAACAATAAATATATACAAAATTATCCCCACAGTGTTTTCCAACTTTAATTAACTTCAAATGAGGGCTGTGGTGTAGGAAGGATCGTGCATGTCTTATTACTTAGGAACTTTATATTTCTAATTACAGAAATTAGTCTTTAGAACTTCTTGCTTTCATTTTCCAACCAGACACAGAGATTAACTTTTAATATATCAAACACAGAGTGTCTCACTGTGACTCACAAAGAAAAACAAAGCGTGCATCAGCATCAGCATCAGCATGATGTGGGAGATCAGAAGATATCGGTGTTTAGTGGGAGGCGGGCTAAAAAAGGACAGATGGTTGAACTCGGTTATAGAACTAATGGAGAACACAAAGGTCAACGTGGTGACGCACTGTTAGTGACTTTAACATCAAAAACAAATCACTAAAATAGACTTCAATCATATGAAACAGTAGCTATCTACATCAAACCACATCAAGTACTTCTTGATGGGTGCCGAGTAGCATAAAAGCAGAAAAATGTTTTCAGTAAAGTATAGGTTCTTAACCTTCAGGCAGCAGGATAAACACTCACTTGTAAGTGCTTTAGCATTATTTCAACTTCCACTCCATAAACGTGAGGAATTTCACCCATCTGTATTAGAAATAACTCTGAAAGACTAATTTTTTATGGCAAGAGAGGCAATCAGGACTGATCTTCACAGTGAAGGACTCTTCTCAGAGAAATAAAACTAACCTACATACCTTCAAACTATGCTTTAACCTCAGTGTGCGAGATGTATAAGGCAGCTGCGCTGAGGGAAGGGGATGGAAGTATGATGTGACACTGTGCAGCATCCTGTAGAGTTTAGACAGATCCTCTGGAGAGGGGTCAAAGCAGGTGACACCACTGAAGTAAAACCCAATCCAAACTCTCTCTTCTGAATATCAAATGATTTGCCATCTCCAAAACTTTTGCTTTTCACACAGAACAGTGGTGTTGGTCAGGATGTTACAAGAGAGCTAAAGACAGAGGAAGGGGTTTACTTCATATTTCTTATCTTCTGTTCTTCCCACCCTCAGAAGAACTTGTGTTTGGTTTCTTTACCTGTGTGCTTTGAGATAGTTGTTTTTGCAATTTGCTGACTAACCATAAGGTCTAAAAATTCCTTAGAATAGAAATGCACAATGAAAAGCATGTGCGTCAGAATAGTTCTGCATGGGGATTCTGACATAGGCTACTTAGATTAAAATACGTTTGTGCATTGATTAGCTCGACGCTTTTTCGAATCCCGGTCAAACTGAACATTTCTTTTTGTATCACAAATACTCATTGTGATCTTTTTGCTCTGTATTTGAGATTTGAAAAGTAAAAGTGTCACGATTAGCTGTGTGGCTGGCAGTGGCTGGACCCAAGTGCAGGCCCCCGAGACAAAATATTAACTTAAGACGGCAGCTTTATTTGCTGGAAACACAAACTTGGCAATACAAAAACACAACTCAAACTAGGATTGCTTAACTAGACTGGGAATGCATGGCGTGGCATGACATAACCTGACGACAGAAGATGAGGGATACACACACAACTAACGTGGAGGACGTAATGACAAATACTGACTGACAGGGGCTAAAATACACTAGCAGGAAGATGAGGAAATGAGGAACAGGTGGACACATAGCTGGAACTTATTAGAAAAGACCAGTGTTGGGACTAACGCGTTATTAAGTAACGCGTTACAGTAACTACGTTATTATTGTGGTAACGAGCACATAACTAGTTATTATGCCAAAATCAGGAACGCGTTAGTAGTTACTGGGTCGTTATTCGTTACTTCTTGCGGTGGCTATCGCGGAGCTTCCACAGATTCAGTAACATTAGCAAGTGGTGGAGGCCAGCAGGTGGATGAGGGAAAGGGGACGCAGGAGGAGCAGAGACCCGAGGCGAACTGAACTTCAGGTAAGAAGTTATGACCTGCAGTCTATCTGGGTCAGATATGAACCAAGTTTAGGTGGAGTTTATTTTCGTTATGCTGACTTTTTCGTACTGGGTACTAGCTAGCATGACGGAGTTTCTATACAGCTGGGTGGGTGCTATGATGTTACTGATGTTGAACTTTATTTTGTTCATAAGGTTAATTATTAGAGTTGCCAACCGTCCCGTAAAAAACGGAATCGTCTCGTATTCAGAGAAAATATCATGCGTTTCGTATTGAGGTGAAAAGGAACACAGTTTGTCCCGGACTTCAGCTACAATGAAAAAGACACAAAGCTGGAGTTATTCTGTGTCTTTGCTGCACAGCTGCCTCTTCTTCTCTCATTCCCTCCCCCTCCCTCTCCTGTTTCTACTTCAATCATGAAACTGATCAATGATCAGCTGATCGGCTTTTCTGTCGCAAGTCCCGTCTCTGTCGTTTGTTTTCATTCAAAGGCTTTATGATTTTTCCTATAATGGTGGGCCGGGCTCTAGTCAAAATGCCCGGGCCGATTTTTTGTCCCAGTCCAGCCCTGTATGCAGCTCATCTGCAGTCTGGTGTTACCTACATCTTCCTATTCGGAAGGCAGAATTTCCGAGTTCTGAGTGCAATCAAAGGACCATGACTGCAGTTTTTGTGTTGGATGTAAAAAGCGCACATGACGCTGTAACGTAGGCTAGAATCATGGCGGCGGTCAACGACGGTCCAGGCGTGGGATTTCTCTCGTGGAAATGTGCACATTATATTTTCCTTTCTATTGGTAGGTGGCACAGAGCACTTGTGGCAAGTAAGCAAGCTAGAAGACTGGCAGTCTTGCTGGGTATCCAGTTACGGAAGCAACACATTAACAAGAGAATTCTGAGTAAAATCAAAGTTACTTTCCCTAGTAACTAGTTACTTTGAAAGTAACGAGTAACTTGAAGTAACTGAGTTACTTTTGATAGAAGTAACTAGTAATGTAACTAAGTTACTAATTTAAAGTAACTTACCCAACACTGGGCAAGACTAGGAAGTAAAATTGAATACACTAACATGAGACAAGACCTTCAAAGTAAAACAGCAAACATGACAGGCACAGAACAGACATTGAACTAAGCCTAAGAACAAACTCTTAACCAGAATAACACTGAAACCTTATCATATTCAAAACAGGACAACTAAAGAATTAGAAAATAAACCATAATACAGAAAAACACCAAAATACAAGAAACTGAAAATACTGGGTCGAAATGACCCAGAACCGTGACAAAAAAGTATTTTAAATGTCAAATAAGATGTCACGATGTGTTTCTAAAATCATGCTTCCATAAAGTTTAACTCTATATTATTGAGAAGTAATCTTACATTAACTAAGAGCTCAGCATTTTTTCATCAACGATGGAGCGCCTTTAAGACATTTTGGTTATACTGGACTTTTACTCTACTCATTCGACCTCAGGAGTCTCGTCAATAAGAAGCTACCCAGCAACAAACAACAAAAAAGACAAACTTTTCAAAAAGCCAAAATAAGATAAGGGCGAATGTCTGGGCCATGTACCTCACCTTGCTGTGGTATTCCTCTACACATAAACAATACATTTGTCATGTTTAATGAAGTGAGAGTACTGCGATGCAGAATGCGTGAAGCAGACTGAAACTTTTATGATGGGCTGATGAAAAAACTGTTTAACCAGATTAAACTAAAACCAGACAAAAGAGAAAATAACTTCCAAAAAGAAACGAGAAATGAGAAACAAAAAAACGAGGGGATACAGACACATGAATAAAGTTAACAGAGGGAAACTCACAGGAGATGAGGACAAAGGACACATTGAGGGAACTATAAAACTCTAAATGAAATCCGTAACTAAAACAAACAAGGACTTAATGCAGTGACAAATAGATAGAAAAACAAAACCTGCATTAAATAAAGAACAAAGAAACCACAGAGAAGTAAACCCAAAGGACTCCAAACAAAAAAGCCTCTAAAAAAGTGAGTGGGACAGACCTGGGGGTCAGCATCACTAAGTATCTAAAACAATCTGTTTTTCTAAGAGAAAAGCTTGTGCAATCAACTTCCTAAGCCATACACAATATTAATAGTAAAATGTGTGTTCCTGTATCTGCTCACCTGTTTGGCAGAAAACTCCCGCATACGCTGACAGGCTGCAGTCACACTGGAAGCCACTGGCTCTCTCCACACAGCGGCCATGGTTCTGGCAGAGCGAGCCGTAGCTGCTGCAGTGACCCGGGCAGCCGGGTTGAACCCCTGGTGTTATCTTCGCCCTCTCCTCCAAGTCCAGAGTGACGCCGTTCAGCTGCAGAGAGCGGATACAGCCCCGGAAGCCTTTCTGCCTGGATGCTGTGCCTCCTGATAACACAAAAATAGGGCATGGCATTAGCATCCCATTTCCATTTTAAACATTAATGAACTAAAACTCAAAGCCTCCAAAACAAAGAGGAAGCAAAATTCTGCATGTTTAGCTAACGATCTACTACAGCATGACAACATGTTGTCTTTGTTTCAGCCCTTCTTTCATTTCTTTATGTGTTGACAGCTTCTCCTGTCGACTACAGCAGATACACATGTCGCCTGTGCTTCCCCGGAAGCTCCAAACTGTCAAAAGTTTTTATGAAATGACTCAACGATAAAACAGCAATGAAGCAACAAACTGTAGGTGGGAAACAGTTTGGGGGACGTAACTTTTATCATCCATCTGTCTGCCTGTCTAACAGGGCATTCTGCATGCTCTCTTTAGTGGAAGTTTAAACCTTGTTTTCATTGTTACACACTCTCTCTGAGATCTTACACGGTCACCGATTCTTCACATAGTTCAAATAAGACAACCCCTCTTTTTCTACATAGATCAGAGTCGATCTATTACCTCGCTCGAGGCACTAACTCAGCAGCTCTTTGCAGTCAAAGTTAGAAGGAGACAATGTCCTGTTGTTCAGCAGCAGCTTTGCACACCAACAAGTCACTGATCTCTGTTAGAGTCTTGTCTAGGCCTTCCGTCTTTGCTCTGATACAACTCCCATAAATGATTAAACCAGCAAAGCACCGCGTAATATGAAACTTGCTTCTGACACAACATAATAGTCATTTGAATCCTCACAGACTCTCCTGGAAGTCATTGTTCATGATTCAAATGTCTACAATCCAGTCATCCTTTCAACTGTTACTCTTTAAATAATCACTCAGAGAGGTTAGACACTTGGACGCCTTCACTTGCATAACAATGCAACCCTGCAGCGGTCAGACTTACAGTGTAATCACATTTTAATCAGTGTTATAATCACAGCTATTGTACCACAGTTTTCTGCATAGTGATTCAAATTAATACAATATGCAAACACCTTTCTTTAACTGCAAATGTGTCCCGACCCACAAATCTCCAGCTGTAAATGTATTGGAACATTTTACTCTGCACTTATTAAACACAGGCGTACACATACAAAATTGTGACAGTTATTGCTGTCACGTGTTTAAATATGCCTTCTGGACATCCTGACAAAAGACAAACGTTTTTACATTTTCTTCAGTCAAGAGTTTCACATGTAAAAACTGGGAGTTTAGGCTCATGCTGACATTCTTAATCAGTATGATTCTTAATCTCAGGCCATGCTGAGATTAAGAAGATTAAGAATCATATTACTTATTACCAGTGTTGGTCAAGTTACTTGAAAAAAGTAATCAGTAACTAATTACTGATTACTCCCCCAAAAAAGTAATCCCGTTACTTTACTGATTACTTATTTTCAAAAGTAATTAATTACTTAGTTACTTAGTTACTTAGTTACTTTTTAAAAACACGATTTACAACCTGAAGAGGTGATAAAGTGATAGATCTTTCAGCCCAATTCTACTTTTTCTACATAATCCATCATACAAAATGTAATCAAATGGAAAAGTCTCTTTTTAAAACTTGTTTTATCAGTTTTAATCTTTTAACTTTATGCATCAAGCAAAACATTTAATTATATGCAACATTCTCTGACTTGAATAAATTAGTTTAACATTTAAACCTATTTTCTACACATTCCAGCACATAAAATAAAATATTTTTTGTGTTTTCACTCACTCTTTCAAACAGATGCAAGTAAAACACAGCAGAAAATAAATAAAGTCAAAGACTCAGCGGTCCTTTTGCTCTATTTTCACCTGTAAAGCAGGAGCTGGGTAGGCGGAGGGTTACCCTGGTGCAGGTGTGCTGCGGTCAGTTGAAGAATCCGCGCGAGTGTCTCTGTGAGTTTCCCATTACGTCATAGCTACTCGGTGCTTGCTCGGAAGTTTAGGGGTTTTTTTCGCTGTAAAAAGAAGTTTTCTTCCCACGCACGATGGACGCTAATGTTTTTGTCACTTTTTATGGAATCAAACTCAAAGTAAGGTCAGTACTTCCACACTTTAAATGCTGCACGCTCATACTCTCTCCCGCACTCGATATATTATCCATTGTTGATCTGCACACAGCTGCTGTCACCAACGTCGCACTTGCTTACGTCACTGTCATGAGACATTCTCGCAAAAAAATCACGGTTTTAGTAACGCAGTAACGCAGCGTTCCTACGGGAAAGTAACGGTAATCTAATTACCGATTTTGCAATAGTAATCCCTTACTTTACTCGTTACTTGAAAAAAGTAATCAGATTACAGTAACGCGTTACTGCCCATCTCTGCTTATTACACCATTTTTTATAAAATTTCCATTCAGTCATGTAAAGGTTTAGCTATTAAGAAGATTTCTTAAAAGTTGTAGATTTGCATTCTGAGAGTCAGAAAGCACAGTTTAAAAAAAACAAAACCTATGTAGTCATCTTAAACTGGCCTTCAACAACAACAACAACCCAATATAAAAGAACTAAAATAACTAACACAATCTCACGCTGTGACTCTGATATTAAAACTACAGCTCACAGCTGGCCTATTATACAACAGTGATTTCAAATACCCAACAGGAAGCAAGTTTGGCCACTTTAAATAAAGTTTCTAAAGGTTCCAGGAAGAACACCCAGCACACATAAAAGTCATTTTTACCAAACACTAATTTGAGCCCTGGGAGATATTCACACAGTTAAGAATTTTATGTTTTTTATGTCTTTTGTAGTTATGACCACCAGTTTTAATTATTTCAGCTTCATTTATCAGGAATTCTATATTTTGTCCCCTTAAGAGGTTTCCTATGGCTCCTAGTATTACCAATGACCTTCAGTCCTTTGCTTTTTTGAAGAGATGAAGACACAGAAAGCTGGCAAAATAGAATAATATATTTTAAAGTGCATTTTTATTAAATTCAGATACATTCAAATATTTATCCAGTAAGTGAAAGAAAACTTTTATCAGAATTATACAATTACAATCATTAGCTTCCACGCAACCAAATCAGAAATCTGCTGACTTGATGTTTCTCCCAAAAGTGCATTTTCAGTCACCATTATCTGCTGTTCTTGAGTTTTATGCATATTTTTTCGAGGAAACCGACATCTTTCGACACAGACGCTCATATTTCAGGACGAACATTTAAACAGGATATTTTTCACGTCTATCCAAGCTTTAAGTGCTCCACTCATCTTTGTCACGTCAAAAACCCCAGATGTCGGAAATATCTTACTCCGCTTCTGTTTGGCAGCCAAAAGAAAAGCTTTAGTAGCGCAGGAAATTTTTAAATGGCAGTGTGTGAGAGTGAAAGAGGTGACTGTAGCAGTGAGCAAAAAAGCATCCCTGAGGACCACCACCTGTGATCAAAGCAATAAAACAGCAGCAAGGAGAGGTTATTAAAGAACAAACCCTCCTACCAGGGAGGCTATCAGAGCGGTGAGGGTTTTCAACAAACATCCTGCCGTACAACTTCAGCTCCAACAAGGATTACAGAGTCTTCACATCAAATGGAAACGCTGCTTAAAGAAAACACTTAAAACAGCATAATGAGGGATTTGTGATGTGGGGATCAAAGCATACATCAAAGAATTGAAATGCAGATAAACTCCACCTCTGACCAAAGGAGCAGAGCTACGAGTAAGACCTTCAAGAGAATTTCAGCCTCATATCCATCAAAAATGCATCAGCTCTAACAAGACATTTTCAGTGTCTACTATACGTCTGGATCCTGTGTATTACTGGACACGTGAGACGACATGAGCGTGAATAGAAATTAATTAGTGAAATGGAGATCAAAGCCGATGCGTGTTCAAGCCTGAACATCGAGCTCAACAAGCAAAACGCAGGAAAAAGAAAAGTTAAACTAAGAAGGAGCAAAAGCACAGCACAGCTCTGAGAAAAGACTTAAAATCTCAATATGAAACCAGGATATTTTCTGAAAACACAGATTAAAAACAAACAACCAAAAACAGTATGCTGTAGGATGAGCTGACCTGCACCGCTTGAGCGATGGCGAACAAAACAATCATCAAACACTATATGTGCTTTGTGGGCTGCTTATGCTGCACACATGAAAAGAGCATATAGATAACATGGCAATTTATATATATGTTCAGCCTAAACACTTTACATTTGATGTCTATTCCACCCCTACAGTTAAGAGTCTGTAAAGTTGCAATTATAAAAAAGGAAACATACAGTTTTGTTAGCCTGTTTATTCCTTTCTTCACTCATTAACTGTTCCTTATACAACAGTTTCTCAATTTACTCATTACTGAGAAGAAACTTTCAGATGTTTGAGCAAGTATTTTTTACCATCACTGATAAACACTGATTCACAAAATAATCATTGCCACATCTCGAAATTTTGGCAAGATCATTTTTACTCAATAACTGTGTGAGCAAGCTGGAGGGTAAGAATATTTTATAATCTTTACTGAATAGAACACAGAGGCATATAAAAGCAGCAAAAATGGTAGAATTAAAAAAAACACTGGAAGTTAGGCAATAATCACACATGCCTAGGAACCTGTTTGCGGCCTTCTGATAGCTACGGGTTGCTAGGGAAGAATGGTTCAATCCCTGATTGGTTGCTAAGTGGTTTCTGGCAGTTGCTATGTGAAACTGGGCACCGAATGGTACACAGTGCTGGACTGAAAACCACCTTGTGATTGCTTTAGCGGGTTGCTGTGATGGTTTGCAAGGAAGATGTTGACTCGTGTGCAAAGACTTGACTCTTGCTGAGCAATGGTTAAAGTGTGAAAAACACAGTGCAAACTGCAACTGGAGGCTATGATTTCTCTCCGTTTATCCTGCAAAAAAGAAATAAATTCTGAATTCAAGTAAAACAAATGAGAGAGGAAGGATGGAACATAGACAGGGAGAAAATACTGAGCAGAATAATTAAACAAATTACCGTTTTGTCTCTTTGACGGTATATTCAGAAAACAGAAAAGCTCTCCACTTCAGAATTCACTCAAGAAGTCATTAATAAG